TCCTTCAGCACTGGATGTTTGCTTATTTCTATGAGTTATTAGAAGTCAGAAGATCTTATATCGTGATATAACTCTCACATTTTACTTTTAACTCGGGTCTGTAGGAGCGTAACCTTCCAAAGTGCCAAAATAGAACGATTGAAATCTCATGCCATCTCCAGGATTAAGAATTACTAAAATATTCCGAAAATTCGCAAACAAAAATCGATTAGTGATAAAGATTTAAGAAATTTAATTTAACAAAGATCTACTTAAAAAATGTGCAAATTTAAATGTATACTTCTGTTATTAGGCTACATTTTATTTTCACTCTTATTTTAATTGATATGAATACCAATATTCTCCGTCTCCGTCTTCCGTCGCGTCGCGTCGGCGTCATACGGATTTTCTTTCACACCACATGCATTTGGCTTCTGTAATGCAGAAAATCTGAATATTTAACAACTGAAAATTAGGTCATTTTGTTACTCAGAATCCCTACATATACGTGTCCATATGTTAAAGAAAGGATATTACATCATGCCTTTGTATAACCTATGACCAGATGGCGTTTACTCACAATAAATTACTTATACAACTGAAAGGGTGGATTTATGTACTGTAAAAGTTGCAAACAATATAAATGTAGAGCCGTATTAAAATTTATGATGGTATAAAATATTTTTTAAAAATTATGCTTAGTTAACTCTTTTTTTATCACGCAAAGAGAAAGAAACCATAACAAGTTCACAAGAATCAAGGTTGGAGAAACATCCTTATTAAATTTTTATATATTTATACTAGAACAACCTTCAAAAAAATGCGTTTAAACATTAACATTTTGGCCTTGAATTAAAAGAACATTTGAATACAATGAATTTTAAATCACACCTATTCTTGCCATATTGTCTATTGAATAGATATGTCGACCCACAAAAAAAATCTGCAACTTCTGTAATACGCCTAAATATTTGCGTTGCAAATTTGCAAAAATTCTTCAATAAAATCCAATAGGGAACATAGTAAAATTAATTTATTCTAAACGAGACCTACCCTACGAGTAAAAAGCCATCTAATTGGGATATAATTAGTACAAACAATATTTTAATAATTTAATTTTAAAATGAAACTACTTTCTATAAAATAATTGAATAAAAAACAATTATTATTCTTTAAGGGGAATGTCTTCGTTAATCATCAGAAATTATGACGCATCATCTATAAACTTAAAATTTTATTTTGAATTTGTATCTTTTTTTATTTTCATTTTATTTAGGTACTTAAATGGCACTATACCGGGTGTCTCAAAAGTGGTGCATCCTATAACTGTTTTATTATTTCAGATAAAAAACGAGATTTGGTATGTTAGTATATGACATAAATTAGGATTGATTGACATATTAAATTGTTTTCGGTCACTTCCTGTTTCACCGGGAATAAACACAACTTTCCATGAAGTCCTCCGTATTTTTTTACTTTATTCGATAGAAAATGACACTGAATAGAATATAGCGAAAATGTGGTATATTTCATTCTATTCAGAGTGTATTTTTCTATCGAATAAAGAAAAAAATATTATTACGAAATATTACTATTAAAAAATCAAAAATTCAAAAGTTGTAGTCATTTCCGGTGAAACAAGTGATTGAAAACAATTGAATACGCCAATCAATTCTAATTTGCGTCAGGTACTAACATACCAAATATCGATTTTTAATCTGAAAAAATAAAAAAAGTTATAGGGGTGAGCCACTTTTCAGAAACACCGGGTATAGTTTCATTTAAGTAAATAAAATGAAAATAAAATAAAGATACATAATCAAAATATAAATCTTAAGTTTATAGATGATACATCATAATTTCTAATGAATAATGAACACAATCCCTTTTAAAGAATATTTATTTTATTTAATAGCGTTTTATAGAAGGTATTGGGTGGGCCACATTTGAGAAACACTCGGTTAAAAATTTAAGTTATTACTATTACTATGTACCATCGGCATCGTAACAACGTACTTCAATTATTTAATAATTGAAGTACGTTGTTACGATACCGATTGGAATTAAAAAAAACTATATAATCACCTAAATCTAATATTGTCAGGAAAAATAATCTTTTAATTCATTATAATAGAAAGAAGTACCCAGGTCATATAACGGAACTAATAAAAATATATGGTATAAGATTTGGCGAAAATGTTAACAAGTTAGATGATGCACTTGAAGTTGGAGATGGATAAAAACGATTCTAACTCAGGCTAACTCAATTTATTCAAAATTTTGGCACAAACGAAGAAGATCGACAAACGAACTTGAAGCTCACGAGAATTGCGTATAACAATTGAAAAAAAATGTGGTACTATCATTAGTACATACATTTACCTATCGGGCGATAATTATCTGAAAATATAAACAACCTGGTACAATTCTCCACTAAATATTGAAGAAAGACTCGTTATGGATGTGTATTGTACAAAAGGGCAGAATGTGTTCAATGAGGATAAAAATCTGCATTGACTGTATGAGATAGGTAATAGGTTTAAATTCTCTAGAATATATTTCTTACGTTTTGTTAGTGTTTATTTTAGTGTATTTCAGTGTCTTTCTTATCCTTTAAACGGTTTATGAATAAATGATCCTGATAAAAGGAGTTGTTTTTGCTTATAATGTCTTATGCCTAAAATTACCATAGCGGTATTTGACTATCACTATAACCGTCATTTTCCATATAAGAGAGTAATAGATGCATTATCTTAAGAGACATATAAGAGATTCATACCATATAAGAGAGTCAATCAGAGAAGTATTTTAATCTCAAAAAATATATTTTAGATATATTTTCAGCTATGATGCCAAATATTAATGTCTAGTGATCCTTAGTGCTAATGCTATGTATTATAAACTTAAATTATATTTCTGTTACCAAATTGTAAATGAAGTTAAATAAATTTATTTATCACCGTCGATAATTTATTTCATCAGTGTCATTATAAGTACTTCGATATGTTTATCTTGACTCACCAACAAAAAACATTCGAAAATACAAGAGGCATATTCTTCATATTCGGAAGCAATAAAGAAAAAAACCTAGGGTTTCTGATTAGCATGCCTTTGTTATAGTTACTTTTCCATAATTTAAATACTATTTTATTTTTTTGCTTCCAACGGCTGATATACCGGGTGCGTTTCAAAAGTGACTCACCCCTTTAACTTTTTTTTATTTTTCAGATAAAAAGATGAGATTTGATATGTTAGTATAAGACATAAATTAGCATTGATTGACGTATTCAATTATTGTTTTCGGTCACTTTCTGTTGCACCGGAAATGACTGCAACTTTTGAGTTTTAATCGATTTGGCACCTCCGGTATTTTGTTACTTTATTCGATAGAAAATGACACTCTGAATAGAATGACACATGTCAACTTTTGACAGTTTTGAATATGATTTATTTGAAATTGCAACATGCGATTAATAACGACAATTTGACTCGAAATACCATTACCAAGTGTGTGGTACCAAATTAACTTATTCCAAATTAAACTTTTTCCAAATATGCTAATGAGCCATTCTTGTTATATTTGAAAAAATTGAGATATGATTAAAATACCATTTGGGCAAATTTTATCCGGCTAGGATAAGACTCTAAAAACATCGTCGAAATCCAAATCTATTTTTCCAAGGCTCTTTGATTAAACACAGCCATGGCACCCTAGATTGGAATTTAAAATACAATTTTGTTTTAAGCGGAAATGTCAAAAGTTGACATATGATAGATTATATTCAGAGTGTCATTTCCTATCGAATAAAAAAAAACAACGCTTTATTGTACAAAAAGCCAAAACAGCTTCATCGATAAAGCATTTACAAAACAAAAAAGCACAAAAACAAATATACAAATAATAAAAAAAATGTCATACAATACAAATCAATTCAAAAAAATCTACGTCATAAAATTACAAATAAAACATATATGGACATTGCAGAACATAGGCGTATTTAGAAAATTTTACAAAAGGAAAACTGTAAATGGATAAAATCACGTTATATATCATAAAATCATGAGTTATAAAATATTAAATATTAAATACTAGACCTTTAACCAGTGTGTGAGATGATCAAAATTTTAAAATTCAAAATTGTTCATGATTAAACATCAACAAAAAAGTCGTTTATCGCATGTGGGGCTTTCTCCAGTAAGTATGATTTCAGAGCTTTGCGAAATGCGGGAAAGAATAAAAGTGACTTGATATTCGAAGGCAAATGATTGTACATTTTCTTGGCATTGTACAGTATTGAGCCCTTAACTAGTTCTGAGCTCGGGGTTGGCAGATAAATATCGTGCTCCGCATTTTGTGAGAAGGCCTTTATGGAATAGAGAATATGTGCTTGCGGATTAAGCAAACGGATTCAAAAATGAAAAAATGAATAAATTAAAAAAATGCCGAGGGTTCCATTTAAAAATCAAAAGTTGCAGTCGTTTTCTGTGAAATAGGAAGTGGCCGAAAAGAATTGAATACGTCTCAATCAATCCTAATTTATGTTATATAGTAACATACTAAAAAGTTATAGGGTAGAACCACTTTTGGTACATAGAGGTAAAAATATCAAATTATCCGGTTGATAAGAGACGCCGAACTACTGGAGTGACCGATTTGATTTTGATAAGACTTATTTTATTTAAGACTGTATAACAATTGAATCCATTTTACAATAATTCTTCAAAAAGGTTTGCCTTTATGATGTTTGCCCTACTCTATGAGGTATACGTTTATAATTTGTTTCTAACATTCATACCCCCTCCTACTAAACTTAAGAAAAACTTCTCAAAACCTTTCACTTCGATATCCGTTTCAAATTACGAAAACAAACATGTCCAAATCGGATCAAGACAAGCACACACTCTCGAATCCTTCGTGACTTGAAACAGGAGGGCGACTAACTATCCCACACCTCCCTAAAAACCCGAACCTACAAGGTCCGTCCACCTGAGATTTTGATCCAGTTCCGATCATACGTCGATCGACAAAAGACCACCTTTTTTACTACCATCTAAAAGCCTCAGTCAGTCATTCAGTGAATGAAGGAAAGTAAAAGTGACCCAGCGAAGAGCACCATCGTAACGTAATAATATCGAGAGTGACCAGAAAAAGCGCGCGTCCAGTCGTTGGCTTCGCGCGACGTCTCAATTGTCTCACCCTAATCATGAGATAAAACTTCTTTCAAACTCCTTGTTTTATTTAACAAACTATCTCATACATTTCTGTCACAATGAAGACTTTGAAACTGTTCCTTGTCGTCGTTATTTGTGCATTTCTAATCGGTTCGGTGTCATCGAAAAATGACTGTCCGGCAAGCAAGAGATCGAACTCTAAATTGATCTGTTATTATGGTGGTTTGGAGCAGATCGATGGGTGCTATTGTACTCACGTTATTTTGCCATCCAATGCCGATGTTAAGGGTATAGAAAAAGTTAGAGAAGAGGCTAGAGGGGTGAAGATATACGTGACTGTCAATGAATTTAATCAGGTAAGCAGAAAAAGTGAATTATAAATTTAACAAAAATGTATATGCATAAACTAGATATGTATAAAAACGGGGTCAAGCCCTAGATGTTATTTACTTGGCCAGTATTCTTCTTTATTTTTAATGGCGCTTAGTGCCAGTTGACCTTAGCAAGGTTGTAATTTATTTTTATGATTTTGAAATGGTATAGTTTAAAACTTAAAAAAAAATATTTTTTTTGGAAGTATATTTGTGTGTCAGGAAACGTTCTATCCTTTTCTAATTTGTATATAATTAGTGTTAGTTTTAGATAAGTTTTATGTCAATTTTTAGTAAATTACGTCTAGAGATTGGCCTTGCCAAAATTATCATTGATTGTCATTTGCCAGCCGTCTTTGACGCCGATTTTTCTCGATCAAACGGTATTTATATGTTTACAAATAAGTATATAATTGGTATTTCTACAATAACTTTAAAAGTAATATTATAATAGAAATCGTTTGTCTGTAATGTGGTAAAATGTAGCTAATTATTCGGCAATGTAATAGTTTGTTTAAAAAATAAACAAGTGGGATCCGCAAATCCGTTTATTTTGACAGTTTAAATAAATAAATTATATAAATCACTCTTAATAAAATTAATCAGGTGGGCAAAATTGAATAATACAAATTCTAAATCTAATCAAAATGTTAAAAAAGTCGTTTTTCTCTAAAAATAAGTTATCCAATCATAATTAAAATCTATAATAATGAATCGTTTCTAACACTACTTAAAAATATTGGCCATGCAATATTGTATTTAAAAAATTAGGGGATGTTAATGTTTTTTAAATCGGTTTGATATATATGTTAAATCGGTTTGATATAATATTATTTTTATAGGATTTTAATTTTTCATATATTTTTCTAGTACGTGATTTATTCTTTTTGCTTAAATTAATATTAGGTTTTTTAGAAAAGAAGAAACAAATTAATGATAAGTTGATACTACATAAAATATATGCATATTTCTTTATTATACAGGGTGAGTCTAAAAAAATATTTTTTGGTGTGGTATATTTCGACCCCAGAAACACGTCTATAAGGGTTTTCTCGAGAAAAAAATTGAACATTTGGTATGTTTCAAAAAAAATTTTTTTTAATTTTTTGTTAAAAAATATAATATCGTCGTAAGATAGCAACATAAATAGTATACAATATATAATATAATACATAATATAATTTACAAGAAAGAAAACTCCAAAAATTCAGAGGTTCTGAAAATTTAAGCAAAAAATAATTTTGTTTAATTCCCAACATAATTCAGTTATTTTAAAACGAATATATTTCTTTTATGGATATCTACCACCCCTGAAAATATTTGTTGTAAGACCCACCCTGTATATATAGAAATAAGATAACTCCAAAAGTAAAGATATTTCCAAGAGAGATAATATTCTTGAAATTTTGTTTTAGAGATTAGACTTTTTAAGTGCAAGTTTCTTGATACCTATATGAACTATTGACCTACCTATACCCTAACTATATCAATCTTGAACATTATCATTTACTACTGTATAAAAAATCTATACTAGAATATTTATTTCATAAATTGTACTGAAACTGTGGTTGGTTCCTTGTGAAACATTGTTGAAATATTAGTATTTTAATAAAGCACGCTTTTAGATGTTTCAAAAAACTTTTAATAAGAGTAACTTTAACTCTACATATATGTTTCGGCTTGTTAGGCCTTTTTCAAGAGTTTTTTAAGAACTAATCGTCTAACTACACTGTAACTATATATATATATATATATATATAGGCCTTTTTCAAGAGTTTTTTAAGAACTAATCGTCTAACTACACTGTAACTATATATATATATTTGCTATGGGGGTGGGTTCAGAGAGTTTACAAAAGGGGTAATAAAAAATGTGTTTAGAAATCCTTGCTGGTCGTTAACATTATTTTCGTTTTTAACAGATTTTAGTATTTCTAACTGTTCAATGTAATTTAAGCGTCTACCTTTTTTTTTGAAACATCTAAAAGCGTGCTTTATTAAAATACTAATATTTATTTCACATAAAAGCAATCTTACCAACTTTTGTATATATTAATAATTAGTTTTTTAGTCTTTTTAGTTAACTTTATAGTTAACTTTATGTATATAAGTAACTTTGTTTTAGGTAATTTTAAGTACCTACTTATTATAGAATTAAAATGTAGATTAATTTTAAATAAAAAACATGTAGAAGACGATTCGTTTGACAGTACTGTTGTGGTACTGTATCCAATAGAAATTTTTTTTAAATGCTCTGCTTTTTTAGGTTTCAACTTAAAGGCTGCAGGAGTCGTTAATTTAAGAAATTATACGTATGATAGTATATGATTCCATATCTAGATTGTGTCTCAATACGTAATTCTAATCATTACGAATATCCTATTCTATAAATGCGGTCTAATTATTGCTAATTTTGATATAATGTATTTTTTAATTATAAATTGTAATTCAAGTTAATTAAACAAAAATTTGTGACTTTATCTAGAATTTAAATTTTGTTATCGATATTTTTTATCTAATTAATTCAGTTATTTAGTTTAATAGTATTAGTTATTTACTTTAATTCAGTTATGTACCTTAATTTAATTTTTAATTAATTTAAAATCATTCACATTTAACAGTAAATAATCTAATAATTGCAGTTCTGCTTTGATTGAAGTTCAATTATATCTATTATTCAATAAAGATTTGCATAAATTTATTTGTCAAAACTATTATTATAAAGAATTAATGTTATTTGGGGACTACATACTTATTTTTAAATATTACTCACTGAAAACATCATGGTAAAATTAATTAATATTTTTATTGCAGGCCGGCATGCCACCGATTCATTATTATTTAATACTTATTTATGATAACAGAATTTTAATTAATTTAAATAAAGGTTCCATTTTATCTGATCTAAATTTTATTTTTTAATACTGTTCCAATAACTGGTTTCTTCTTAAAAGTAAAAGTGATTTATTTCAAAATGCGATATCTAGATTAAAAATAATTTATTGATGCTTGTATATAAATGTGCCTATTAAAAATTCGTAGTTTCTTCATCTGAATTTTAGTCATCTATTGTGGATGATGTTAGTGTTTAATGTATTGTAGTTGATTTGTGTTTTATACAAATGATTATATTTATAGTAATTCATTAATTTTTTTCCTAAATAAAAACACGTGATTTTCAAGACATTCTTAGTATTTCGACTATATACAGGGTGGACAGAGTTGTATTCGGGAAACTTTGGCAGCATATTCTGCAGATAAAAATAAATTAAAAAGTTTGTAAAAATTCATGTCCTAAAATGCTTCACTTCGGAGATACAGGGTGTAGAATTTTCATTTGACTTTTTTTTCTAAATAATTTTCGAATTATAGTTAGATATTTGTTTGTAATTTGGTCTCTGAGCGTTTCTTGACATGAGAAATTTGATTTTGTTGTCAATATGACTCCTACATGTAGGGGACGCCTACATGATGTTTAACTGTTAGTTGTAAGAGTAATGACTTTTTGTTCGCATCTCTATAAAACTAATGAGTAATAAAACTTATTTTACGTAATTTTTTTGGTAATAAACGTTTCTTGATAAAAATCGCTACGAGCAACCGATCTCAAGATATTTGGAATGGAAATAGTCAATATATGTCATTATTGACAAAAAATATACACCTTGGCTGCATGGCTATTTGATTGAAATGATAAATTTGGGAACTTTTTATTTTTATAAATTAATCATACACATTTCCAGAAAGAAATTATGATAAAACAGTTACTGTTGAACCTTTTGTACAAAATAATTTCAAATTTATTATTTTAGTCTAATAACTATCTCATTTTTAAATTTTGTTTCAAAATGATGATATACTCTAGCGATTTTTACCAAGAGAATTTTCATCTAAATATAGATGTTAGTTAATTCAGAAATAATTAATTATTTAGAAACAAAAACGAAATAAAAATGACACTTCTACAGCCTCTATCTCCAAAACGAAGCATTTTAGGACATAATTTTATACGAAAATTTTTGCTTATTTTTAGCTGCAGAATATGTTGCCGAAGTTTCACGAAGTTCACGATCACAAGTCGGATATTTAATTTTTTATTTCCTTATTCACCTGTTATTTTTGCTGCTAAAGTGAAATTTGCATTTTATAAAATCTATTGCCAAAATAGCTGTAATTACTTTCAAAACAATGACAATACTTCTCATAAGTATCTATGTTTGCTATGTGTTATAGCTTAAAAGATATTTGTATCGATGAATAAATACTAGGTCATGTTTTTTCCACCTGCGTGTATTGATATTGTACAATTTATCATCATTAACATTTCAAAGAACAATAAGATCTTGTTACTCCCAGAACATGAAAGAGTTTAAAAAATGAGTTTGAAAATAACATTTTTTTTCTAGACAAAGTAGATCAATGTATTATTACAAACAATTATTAATTTTTTGATTTAAATTCTCATTCAAAAATTAATAATATTATGCATTTTGATGCATTGTTTCTAACTGTATTTTTTCGCTATATTAATTTTTTTCATTTTGCATTATATTTTTTTTTCTTTATTTTCTCTTAGAAACAATTTAAGTTTTGTATTAAAAATAAAAGAAAATTATAAAATAATTTTTTCATACATTATTATTGAAATCATTTTAAATTTCTATATTGTAATTATTTTAAATTCCTACATTTTTCTTTTTACAAGAATTTTTTTTAACATTGTCAACGATATTTTCACTGTAGAATGTAGAATGAGTAAGAGGGGGGGTTAATTACTGCGACCTTAAAGATCTATTGTGCCCCCCTTCCTTGAGTCATCATACAGTCTATAACCCATCATACCCCTGTTGTAGAGGGGACAGGGTATTTCCCATTCTCCTCTGACAACAGTTCTTCCTCCGAGGGTACACACCCTTCCACGGTTGGAGTTTGGCCCTCCGTGCCGCTCTTCACAGTCGAGAAGCTTGCCTCCGGCTGAGGAACCCGTGAGGTGGACGCTGGAGGATCTGTCTCCATTTTCTCACCTCTTTAACTTGGTCTCTCCTTAGACCTGATACCGGTGTTGTCCCGTATCTATAATAGAATATTGTGTCCCTCTTTCTCTATTGCCTCCTTGGATTTGAGGTCAATTCTTATTGTGAAGTCCTGACCATGACCCTCCTCCCTCGAGTTGATGACTCGCCAAATCGATGTCCTTACATTGAAGTTCTGACCCTGGATAAGGCTCAGCAGATAGGTGGTGTTTTCCTCTTGTTCCTCGGCAGAAAGACCGTGATGGCCGCCCCTTTAGGGATGTTTTCTCCCTTCACTGCAACCAGTTCCGGCCCCTGCCAATTTTTAAGCTTAAGTGCGATTTCCATCAACCAATTCTTCGATTCTTGAGATACACAATCTATGAGGATCATGCCCACCTGAAAGTGTATCCCCGTAAAACGCAGCTGATCCACATTTTGTAGATCGTTGTGTTGCGATCCGATCGCCACTACTTCGTCCAATATAGCCTCTTCTAGAAACGTTTGCTGGCCGGTGGTCAGAGCAACTTTTGGGAAATCTTTTGGCAGCACCGCCATTTTCACTTGTCCAGCAATAGCGGCAAAGCTGGTGATACGTCCCTGCTTGCCTCCCGGTGTTGGACGGCTTTCCATCCTGGCTTTTTTCTCTCCCTGCCGGAGAAGAGGTGAGAGATTCTCGCTCCCTCTCTTGCCCTTTGATGGAGATGAGTCAGGTTGTTTCTTGGTCTTAATTTCACGGTAACTAAAATAAAAAAAATATTATTTTTTTTGGCGCACCCTAATAACTACTATTTAAAGAATTGTTACTAGCAAATCAAAAACCTTTTCTTTTAAATAGATATAATCAGTTCTATATATGAGAATATTGATTTGTTGACACATATTATGAGAATATTTCCAAATTAACAAAGCAGCTTGTAATTACAATGTCAACTACTCGGGTCACTTTTATTTTTTAATTAGTTTAAATCACATTTAATCCTTTTTGACAGCTTAATGTAATATTTTAATTAATGAAAACGTAAATGTCTTCATATAAATTATCTGGAAATATTAATATATTTCTTGCGTGATATATTCATAATTTACAAATGAAAATAAAACAGTTTATTTTTTATTTATTTTCACTCACTAAACTTTTTTTTTACAGGGGCTGATAAATTTGTTGAAAGACACCAAAGTTGATGGATTGGAGATCGACTTGAAGAAACTCGACTCGAAGAATGACATATCGGACTTCATTTCCACTGTCAAAACGAGAATTGGCTCCGATTTGAGCATCGCACTATCGATACCCTCGAAAGCTGATTTGGTCGCTAAATACTTCGACTTCAAAGCTTTGAGCAAACATGCCGATCTTTTCATACTTCAAACAGGCTTTCTGGGTGCCTCCACCAATGTTACCTTCCATCCAAGTCGTTTGTCGGGCATGTGGGACATGCAAAACACGGTAAGTAACCGTAGATAACCATATACTAATCCATAAAATAAGAAGTAATACGTATATTATTGGTTTGCTGATATGATTATTGATGGATAAAATTATTACATTTTTACAAAACAATTAAATGTTTTGTATCCATACTTTTTAGAATATTTTGGCAAATAATGGTTGCACGGTCAAGTTGGCCTTGGTACAGTCTATCGACATACCAAAATTCATTTAAATCTGACGATTTTTTGATTTTTACGATGTTCTCTATGGGTATCTCGGAAAGTACTGGAGATAGAGAGTCGATTAAATGGGGAAAGAATTGCTGTTTTGTGGGGTCATAAATATGCGCCTTTCAGATTTTGGAAAAAGTTCATGGCTTACTAGATATTCCGAAAAAAACAAATTTCGGCTATTTTAAAAATTGTCCCTAATTCCATTATAATCTATTTTAGACAAAAAGTTTTCAGATAAAAGTTGTAGATAAATACATCCCTGATTAGTTTGTGTCCTCCATTTTTTTCTAAAGCCTGTCATTTTTGACATTTGACACAAATATATGTTTTTTTTAAATGGAAACCATAGTTGGCCATGACTCCATGAAAAGCGCCATTTTTTAAACTGTTCAGCGATTTAAGCTATAATATGTTTTTTTTTTCGAAAAATTACTATTCGGCTATTCGAGTTATAGCCAATTCTTATCATTTATGTTATCATTTTTTAGTTAGCCATGGAAACAAGTTCAATCGTCGTTGCTCTCAGAAATGTGAAACTGTCACATCCCAACTTTGTGAATTAAAATTAACTAAAATTGTAAATATGAATTTCTCAAATGAAGAAAAGCGTGTAGGAGTATTGGTACAACTTTTCTTGGCCATACATTTTCGAGGATACGTTAACCAGTGAACGTTACTTACGTTTTTTAGAGAACGGTTTTCAAGACATGTTAGAAAAGTTAAATTTAGATACTCGCGCATCAATAGAGTGGTTCCAACGTGAAATTCATTATGACACCCCCTCCCCCCACCACATAATGCAAGAAATGTTAAAAATTATTTATATCATAATTATGCAAACTCAGGTGGATAGGAAGAGGTGGATCCATTGCATGGGCCTCCTCGATCACATGACCTATCCATTTTAGATTTTTTTGCGGTATAACTATGCTAACTAACAACAAGGTTTATAAAAGAACTTGACTTAAGAGAGGCACTCGAAGAGGCGGTACGGGAGAAGTTTAATTAAGTCGACCGGTCCCATAGACTTAAAATAAAATATAGACTACACTATTTACATCTCAACGCGGTCGAACAATCTTTTTTGTACACATGTTTACTTCTGGGTACAGTCGACCGAGCCTTCCTCAGCCAGCTTATGTTGTCACGTCTTTAATATTATCAATATTTTTTTTCTTGTTATACACATATATTGAGATATTAATACTACAGTTTAATAAAGTAGGTATTAATATTCCATAGATGTATTAAATAGTCCTTATACTACTAAATTATAAGTCGGATACTGTTTAAAAAGGATAAGTTCTTTACAATATGACAACACCGATTAGAGGCGAGGGAGCCTATTCATTCATTTATTACCTTGTAGTACGCGTCGCACGTGTGCGGTAAAGCTTTGTTGCCGCTATGTCCCCGGCTGTATTAACGCATTTTCTTAGCTTGTAGTCCTTAAGTGTTTATTTTATTGACTTTTTCTGTTCAAGAACTATAAAATATGGTTCACCAGTGCCAAATTTGCAAGAAATTTGATTTAAATACCTGACCGGTAGGCAACTCTCAATTTACTCATTAGGAGTCAGTGGCGTTGTTGTAGAAAGGCGCTTATTTAGATAATATTTTAGTAAAATGTAAAATCTGAATTTTTTCTCTTACATTACATTATTTACTTACTTACATTGTAACAAAATCATAATTATAACCCTGTTAATAATTAATAATGTTTTTATTAAAAATATATTCCGGTTTATTCTAAAATTGTCTTCAGAATCTAAAATAACATACAAGAATTTTAAAATGATATTACATTATGAAACAATATTTTTTAATATACCGGGTCGTCTCAAAAGTGGCTCACCCCTATAACTTTTTTATTTTTTCAGATAAAAAAAAACAGATTTGTATGTTAGTAGGTATATGACATAAATTAGAATTTATTGACGTATTCAATTGTTTTTGGTCTCTTGCTGTTTCACCGAAATGATTACATCTTTTGATTTTTAAAGGCACCATCGAGTAAGTAAGTATCGATAAAAAATAACACTCTGAATAGAATGACATATCATATGTCAACTTTGTCGCTTAAAAACAAATCGTATTTTAAATTTCAATCCAGGGTGCGATGATGTTATTAAAAACACTAATTTTAATCAAGGAGCCTTGGAAAAATAGTTTTGATCGTCTAATGGGTTTCGTGTCTTGTCTAGGCCGGTTAAAAGATGTACAAATCGTATTTTTAATCATACATATGTCAATTTTTTCAAATGGAACAAGGGTGACTCATTAGCATATTTGGAAAAAAACATTTTTTATGAATATATTGATACCACACTTTTGGTATTTCGAGTCAAATTGTCGTTATGAACCCCGTGTTACAATTACAATTAAACCACATGCGAAAATGTCAAAAGTTGACATATGATATGTCATTCTATTCAGAGTGTCATTTTCTATCGAATAAAGTAGAAATATACCTGTCGCCGATTCTAGTATATCTGTGGAATAGATCCCGTTTTGATTAATATTAGGGGTTGTAAATGTTTGACTAAAATTATAATTTATTATTAATTTCGAAAATTACGTAATTTCGATTATAAAATTTCTTCTATAACCTGTATTTTATTATTTTTATCCTTTTTGGACTCTTAAGACGTTTTTTTCTAAACTTTTATTCAAAAAACCTGTCTTAAATCTTAATAAAATATAAAAAAGTTTAAATACGATATATTTTTAATTTAATTATAGCTTCAAAATAAAAAAATTACCCGGCTATGATACGGAGAGTTCAGGTGTACTTGAGAAATGAAAGACACTGTTGTGTTTCTCGGCTGAGTCGTCAGGGAACGACCGTTACGACAGAGACAACCTATCTATCGCTCGTGTCGCACTCGTTATAACCTAAAACAATAACACAACAATAACAAGACATTGTCTGACCGCATGTTCCAGCTATTTATGAATGAGATGCTCAATGCTCAGTCTATATTTTATTTTAAGTCTATGACCGGTCCAGTCGTTCCGTGAGACTAGCTAGTAATTCAATTTTAAAAAGATGCATTTATGTACTCAAAACAATGATGGATTTTTTGAACATTTTCTAAAATAACTTAAAGTGTATGTAGTGATATTATTTTTTCTTTTAATTTCACTTTGTGTAATGTAAATTGTAAAGAGCCATTTAGTAATATATTCTGTCTTTTTAGTTATGAATCATAACAGAATAAGAATACCATGCCTACTAAGTGAAATTAGTCAAGAAAGATAGGAATTGGCTATAACACATTAATTTTTCGAAAAAAAAAACATATTAAACTTTATATCGCTGAAAAGCTTAAAAAATGGCGCTTTTCATGAAGTCATGGCCAACTATGGTTTCCATTTAAAAAACATATGTTTGTGTCATATGTCAAAAATGACAGGCTTTAGAAAAAATCGGAGAATACAAACTCATTAGGGATGTGATTATCTATCACTTTTATCTAAAAACTTTTTGTCTAAAATAGATTATAATGGAATTAGGGACAATTTTTAAAATAGCCAAAATTTGTTTTTTTCGAAATATCTAGTAAGCCATGAACTTTTTCAATAATCTGAAAGGCGCATATTTATGACCCCACAAAACTGCAATTCTTTCCGCATTTAACCTACTCTCTATCTCCGTTAGTTTCCGACATATCCATAGAGAACATCGTAGGAAACTCACCCTGTATAGACCAAAAAGTCATATAAGTTAGCTACAAATTGAACACTAGAACAAAATATACTGAACTCTAAAATGCATGAAAAATTTAGACGTGTGTTTTTCGTGTCGGTATTATAGATATTAAATGTATTTCTTAACTCTAAACTATGAGAATTTAAGTATAATAATCTACATATTATAAAATGCTAATATTTATCTCTGTCGTTTCTAGTGAAGTAACGACTTGTTCCAGAAAGTTGTTTTTTTTACTAAAAGATAGCTAATTGGCTCTTCTAAAAACTGTCGTCGCCAGATTTTTTGTTTTTCATTTAATTAAAAAAATAAAATAAAAACTATTTTTTTCCTGATGTCGTGGCGGATGCGCCAGACTTCAACTAGTATTTTATAAAATACTAAATTTTTGATAAAATCTTGCGATTACATTAATTGGAACTGGCCGTTTTCTTTCTATAACTTACATATATAATTTATAAATATGATATATTGTACTAGTTTTTGCAACCATAACTAAAGGTTATTCTAGCTTGTAATATTCGTAATGTCCATATTACGTATGTATCTACACCAGCAATAAATTTCAATGTTGCACTAAATAGCGTGTAGAAGAAAACTTGAATACTATTTATGGTCTGTATATGTAAAAATAGCAATATCCTCAGTGAATTGTATGAATTATTATAGTCTCTCTTAACATTTGCCATTTTAAGATATATTTTTTATTTATTTAATGTCTTTTGCGTTGATATTATATGAATTATATTCTATTTAGATTATGCAGTAATGCTCATAACTCCAATGCTTGATCACTTAATTGAAAAAAATAATCGAAATAAATCCTGGCAATTATTTATTTTAGTTTAGTCGAATTTTTTTTTATTCTCTAAAATCTTTGATTTAGTTACACTAAAAATATCTTCCAATATAATATCGTAAGTAAAATCAAGTATTTTAAGTTAAAGTTTCTTTTTTGCTGACAGGGCTAATCTAGACTTGGCCTATTCTGATAATACGTATTTAAAATCGTGGTCTTCAGCAATATAATGGCGTACTGACTAGCCAATGTCTACTAAAAACTGGGACCG